GGTTGAGCTGTAGTGGGGGGGGGAGGGGGGGGGGGGGGGACCTGGATTAAAAAGAAGGTTGAATTTGATTTTAGTGCAGAATTGCTTGGAGGACACAGCTGTGAACACGGATTAAAACAAGAGTGCAGAAAGGGCCCTTCCCTTTGAATTCAAATGCTACTTTTAGGGGCCATTCCCTCTGCATCTGCTCTCTCAATTCTCCTCTCTTGCACACACATGAAAAAGGTGCACCCAGCACCATCTAGTTAGTTAGAGTAGGTAATCTATATATTTCTCACCTGCACTCTCAAGTATGCATTTCCTTTGATAAAAGTTGCTTATTGGTTTTAGAACAGACTGCTGACTCCGTGTGCCTTTGTAAGTCTGTTGCCACACCTAGCCCCAGGTCTGCTGCGTCTAAGCCTTGAGAGAACTCTGCAACTTTCTGTGGTTCCCTGCCAGTACCAAGTCCAGAGAATGTAACAGGAAGGAGCACTGCAGACAAATGCCAAAATATATATCGTGGTTTTATATAAAGTGTGGCAACTGGGATAGAAAGGCGTCTTTCTCCCTATTCGGCTGGCAACCTCTGGCAACCTCTGGACCGCCCTCAGTTTTGCAAGCGAGTGTCCACGGCTCGGGGAGTGTCTTGTTCTTCTTTCCTTCTGGTACAGCGCCCAGTTTGGCTCACCTGTTTCACCAGGCCAAATGATTTTGGGAAACTCCTCCTCATATTCTAGAACCTCGTCTGGCTTCAGGCATCTTGGCGATTACGATTTTCTCCATCTAAAGCCCCATTAGCCCAACAGGCCAAACGACAACCTCACCGGCCTCTTTACGCCTGGGGATGCACCTGGTATCGATTCCTGTCTGCTCAAGGCACACAGCCTGGTCTGCAAATCAGAATCCGGGATGACGAGGGTTAGTCTGAAGGGAACTGAACATGCAGGGTAAACGTGGATTAATGAAAGCAATTTCCTGGAGAACTGTGGTGGAAAGTAGGACGATCAGATGCAAAGTGTGGGTAGGCTCCCATTGTGTCGGAGAACAGCGTGGCTTATCTATTTTGTTTCTTTGGAGAATTTCTATGCCACCTCTCATGAAACACTGCCATATACTGAATCAGACCTTTGGTCTATCAAGGTCAGTATTGTCTACTCAGATGGGCAGCGGCTCTCCAGGGTCTCAGGCAGAGAAAGGTCCTTCACATCACCAGATCTTTTAACTGGAAATGCCAGGAATTGAACCTGGGACTCTCTGCATGCCAAGCAGATGCTTTACCACTGAGCCACAGTCCCCTCCCTCCACAGAGCCTGCTCAAGGCAGCTGACATGATCAAATCGTATCAGAAGAAGAAGAAGAAGAAGAGATTGGCTTTATACCCCGACCTTCACTACCCAAAGGAGTCTCAGAGAGGCTTACAAACTCCTTTCCCTTCCCCTGTGAGGTAGGTGGGGCTGAGAGAGCTCTTGACAGAAACCGCTCTTTTTCAAGAACAGCTCTTATCAGAACCATGGCTTGCCCAAGGCCATCCAGCCAGGTGCAAGTGGAGGAGTGGGGAATCAAACCCGGTACTCCCAGATTACAGTCCGCGCACTTAACCACTACACCAAACTGGCTCAGCATTAAGAGTTGTTAAAATTAACAAACTATTTTAAAATCCAGCGTTAAAATCACTTGGGATCTTGAAATGAGTCTCATAAGACAGTCTTCAGATTAGAAGCAAAGTGTAAAAGCAATTTTAAAAGGTCAGTCCCTCAATGAAAAGGAATATAATGGACCGGGGCCTGAAGCAGAGTAGGGTACACAGGCAAGTTGCCACCACTGAACAGGCCCTGCGCCTAGTCACCATCTGCCTCTCCTCTAAAATAAGGGGTCAGAGAAAGCAGGGCTTGGGAGGAGGATATTTTTCTCCCTCGTATGACCTGCTGCTGATGGTGGTGGAAACCACCATCAAGTCACAGCTAATTTACAGTAAACCTGCAGGGTTTTCAAGGCAAGAGACAAACAGAGGTGGGTTTGGCCTGCCCCTGTGTAACAACCCTGAACTTCCTTAGAGGTCCCCCATCCAAGTACTAACCGGGGCGACCCTGCTTAGCTTCCAAATTCTGACGAGATTGTGCTAGCCTGGGCTATTCAGGTCAGGGCACGTGACCTGCTACCCCAACCAAAATATCTTCCATAAAAGCTTCTGCATCCTGTTGGTTGGCCTGGCCTTATGCAATGCAGAGGGAGCATAGCGATTAAAAAAAAAGAGAGAAGCCAGGGATGCAGACTGACACGGGCGAGAAAGCGGCTTTCAGACCATGTCCTGGGGACACCGTGAGGTTCCTTGGAAACTTAAGAGGAGTCACTCAACGAGAAGGCTGGGGAGGGGCTATGGTTCAGTGGAAGACCCTCTGCTTTCCATGCAGAAGGTCCCAGGTTCAGTCCCCAACATCTCCAGTTAAAAGGACTAGGTGATGTGAAAGACCTCTGCTCAGCTGAGACCCAGAATAATAATAATAATAATGATGATGATGATGATGATGATATGTAGTCGAAGGCTTTCACGGCCAGAGTTCATTAGTTGCTGTAGATTTTCCGGGATGTGCGGCCGTGGTCTTGGCATTGTAGAACCTGACGTTTCGCCACCTTGACACAGAGAGTATTCCATCTTGCTGTATTTATACCTCTGAGGATGCCAGTCACAGTTACTGGCGAAACGTCAGGTTCTACAATGCCAAGACCATGGCCACACATCCCAGAAAATCTACTACAACAACAACAACTACTACTACTACTACTACTACTACTACTACTACTACTACTACTACTACTAGATTGGACTTACCCTAACCCTTCAGTACCAGAAGGAGTCTCAGAGCGGTTTACAGTCTCCTTCCCCTCCCCTCCCCTTGAGAGCCAGTTTGGTGTAGTGGTTAAGTGTGCGGACTCTAATCTGGGAGAACCGGGTTTGATTTCCCACTCCTCCACTTGCACCTGCTGATGTGACCTTGGGTCAGTCACAAGCTCTGGCACAGCTGTCCTTGAAAAAGAGCAGTTTGTGTCAGAGTTCTCTCAGCCCCACCCACCTCACAGGGTGTCTGTTGTGGGGAGGGGAAGGGAGAGGAGTTTTTAAGCCGCTCTGAGACTCCGAGTGAAGGGCGGGGTATAAAATCCAATCTCTTCTTCTTCTTCTCCCCACAACAGACACCCTGTGAGGTAGGTGGGGCTGAGAGAGCTCTTTCGGGAACTGCTTGTGAGAGAACAGCTCTGAGAGAACTGTGACTGATCCAAGGTCCTCCCAGCAGCTGCATAAGGAGGCGTGGGGAATCAAACCTGGCTCTCTCAGAGTCCGTGCTCCTAACCAGTACACCAAACTGACCACTGCCAATCCGAGTAGATGATACTGACATTGATGGACCACAGGTCTGATTCGGTACAAGGCGGCCTCATGTGTTCGTGAGCTCAAGATAGGTAATGACAGGTGACCTTTCCTGAAAGACATCTCGGCCTGATCTCCCATAGGGAAGGTTAAGGGGGGGTACTGTCAGATGTGCAGTGCTTTAAGTCCGTGTGTGTGGCCGGTGAGGCCTGACAGTAAAGGTAAAGGTTCCCTTGTTCGAAAGCCAGTCTAGTCCGACTCTAGGGTTGCGGTGCTCATCTCCGTTTCAAAGCTGAAGAGCCAGCGCTGTCCGAAGACGTTTCCGTGGTCATGTGGCCGGCATGACTAAACACCAAGGCACACGGAACGCTGTTACCTTCCTACTGAAGTGGTACCTATTTATCTACTTGCAATTTCTTGCTTTTGAACTGCTAG